ATGTCCAGAGCTGTAACAACTATAGGGGCATCAAATTACTAAGTCATACCATGAAAGTTTGGGAGAGAGTGGTAGAAATGAGAGTGCGAAGGACGATGTCTATTTCAGACAACCAGTTCGTGTTCATGCCGGGGCGAGCTACCACAGAAGCTATCCACCTAATTAGGAGAATGGTGGAACAGTACAGGGATAGGAAGAAGGATCTCCACATGGCCTTTATTGATCCGGAGAAAGCGTACGATAAGGTTCCTAGGGAGGTCTTATGGAGCTGCTTAGAGGATAAAGTGGTCCCGGTTGACTATATTAGGATGATTAAAGACATGTATGCTGGAGCTAAGACTCGGGTTAGGACAGTAGGAGGTGACTCTAAACACTTTCCAGTTATTACGGGGTTGCACCAAGGGTCTGCGCTCAGCCCATTCCTATTTGCCCTGGTGATGGATGCACTGACTCATCATATTCAAGGGGAGGTGCCATGGTGCATGCTATTTGCTGATGACATTATTCTAATTGACGAGACACGAGGCGGCGTCAACGAGNAAAGACGGCAGTCACAGATATATGATAGAATGAGGAATTTGGGCGACAACTTGTTTACTTGCTAATTCTTCGGGTGTATGGTATATTAACTACTGTTACTTTCATCATATATAAAGCTTCTGTTTATTGTAAATATACTCCCTCCGTTTCAATTTTTGTGAACCTATTTCCTTATTAGTCCGTGCCAAAAAGAATGACCGCATTCAAAGAAACTTTCCAATTATTCAGTTCCATTAATGCCCTTACTATTTCTCTTTTGAATTCCGTATCGGACCCACTAACTCTAAAAGTAAGTTACTACTTTTTCATTTTTTTGTGTTGAATAGTCAACATTTTTAAACTTACAATTTCAAATCTCTTCTGGCTAGGATTTGGCTTTTTTCTAAATCTTTCTATTTTTGACTTTTTCCTTATTCTTTTTTTTTTTCATCCTCACATTGTTGGCTTTTTCTCTTATTCTTCTTTGTTGACTTTTCCCGTTCTTTTTTCTTATCCTCACATATTTTGCTGCGATACCCATTTATTTTTATCCGAATTTGGTTAATTACAAGCCATTTGTAATTTTTTTAATTACTCCGTTACACCAAAGTCATTAGATAACTAACGACAAACACTCGCATATAATCCAAATTGTATAGCGATGAACAACACCAATCAACTTTCAAAAATAGACGATTGCTTTAAAATTCGTTGTAGTCTTCAATTATAGAGGTCAAAATACAATCTTATTCCCAACAAAATGATTTTAATATTTCAAGACAAAATAAGCCACCGTAATGGATTTTAACTTCTTTATCACAAGTCCTCTAGCTCAAGTGTTCCAATATGTCATAAAATTCCTTATAAATATGAGTCTTGATCACCATTTTGGGATTACAAAATTCCCACAAACATAAATCCTTAAATGCACGAGACTTTCCACAAACATAAACTTAACATTTGCAGCTTCTCAAAAAAATATGAGACTTTACAAATAAAGAAACTATACAAAACCTACATATCAAACGTTCAGAGCTTCTTTAAATACACAGCCTTTACAAGAGAGGATTCCATAGAAACTACAAACTTGATGTTCATAACTTCTTTAAATACACAAGTCTATGCAAAAAGAGAGGTTATACAAAAACAACATGATGGTTAGGTTTACAAAACAGAGAACCTTTACAATAAAGTTGTAAATAGCCTTGACATTTGTATCACATTTGAAGTGGAGCTACAGCTTCATTGACTACGCCAACGTCACAACTAACTTGAATAGGAATATTTCCTTCTCGTTCTAGTCTACCCTTTTTCATACGTGGGATTTTGTAGTTGTTCCTACCTTTACCTTTCAGCGCCTCAACCATGCAAGACGGTAGAGCGAGAAACACATGATTCAGTCGGTGAACTTCCATCTCATTAAAAGATTTCTCAACTGCATTTATTAAGTCATCAATAGTTGTAGGAGTCATTTGATACTGAAGTGATTGTAAAGGCACATCTTGAAGAACCTAATTCTACAGGAAAGAGCTACGAGATTCAATTAGTTGTTGTAGCTTGGCTGACTGATACAAGTAAATATTCCTAGAGAAAAACAATGAAAACAGAAAGAATATTCAAAAGCTCTTCACAAATTTAAAATTTAGTGTTGCGCAAATAGAAGAGTGAAATATTTACCGCTCAATTCAGAGAGAGCGCCAAATTTCATTAAATAAATTTTTTGAAAAGAAAAACCATCAGATCTCATTACAAACTTATTAATATAGGAGTAAAATAAATTTCAAATAAAGTTAGGTTAATATACCTGGGTTATTGAGAAATCAACGGGAAATATTCTCAACTACTTGAATCTTGGGTCTTCTCGACAGAGAGAAAATTTAAGGAAGACTTCCTATTCAATTGGGTTTCCAATTTGTTTAAGTTTTGGTATAGTGTATGGTTGATGGGCATTAGTAATTGAAAGAAAATTGGGAGATTTGGACACAGTAATTGACAGGCTGCCATGTACAGTGAGCAGATGATTTGTTTGACTCTCTCTTCGGCAGAAGAATTTTCCGTTGAATATTAATCAGTGGGCCCTAAGGGTATTATAGTAACTTGACACATTTTTAGCTTACATGGCAAAAGTCTTCCCTCATTTATTAAACTCCATGCCCAGTCAAATGAGTTCACATAAATTGAAACGGAGGGAGTATATACTATGTGACTAGCGGTTTGTTGTTATACTGCATACCTTAGCATTAAGAATTCAAAGTTTGATCAAAGGTGAGACTGTAAAAGTGCTTTACGTGCATATTCATGTATGAACTACAAGTAATGCCTTCAGCGCATTGTCCAAGGACCAATGAAGAGATATTTGATGAAACTCAGCCATTAATCTTAAACTCGGCAAAGATGCAAAAAGAAAAGAGATCAGAGAGTAATTCAACGATGAAGAAGGAGGGGATTTTGGGTGTTCCACGATGGGAGTTTGCTGGTATCGACGAGGGGAGTAGTTCTGGGCGGAGGGGTTTTTGTATTAAATTAGTTAAAAAATATAAAATACAGGTCACTTAATTAATTAACTTGGCGGGCCAGTGAATTTTCAGCGGAAAAAACAAGGGGGAATAAATAACCGTTCCCATAGCAATTTTTTTCACAAAATCGTTGCCATATACATGTCTATTGGGACGGTTCACAAATCCGTTACGAAACAAAACTCTATGACAACGGTAATGTTATATTTGCAACGGTTTGATGTCAATAGTGTGCTGATAGCACCCAAATTCTATCGTAATGGTTTCAACCTTTACTATATCTGATCTATGGCAATGGTTTGTGAACCATTCCAAAATAACTGTTCCCATAGGCCCATTTTCTGGTAGTGAGCAGATGGAAGATAAAACAAATGGAAACCAAGACCGAGGACAACAATTTCAGTTGGCCAGGTAAATCCCGAAGGGAACATAGCCAACGAGAGCAAAAGAATATTTGTCACCAGATGACGTTTAATGAAGAATAATCCTCAGTATTAAATACACAGCCGTTGCAGAGAATTTTGGCATTCATGGCTGTCACGCCTCCTTTTTCCCAAAGGGATAGGGAGTTTTCCAACTAAAGTGACATTAATCGAAATGAAATTATTTATTAAATTTCAGAGTCGTCACTTGGAATATTTATGGTGTCACAAGTCACCGATTTATTCTAAATTTCAAATCGAGGAAATTTGACTCTATTTTAAAGTCTGCGAACATAAAAGACCGGGTAAGGAATTCTGTTAACTCGGGAGAGGTGTTAGGCACTCCCGAGTTCCGTGGTTTTAGCACGATCGCTTTTAATCAAACTTGGCTTAATTAAATCAATTAATTACTCAGTTTTATAACCTATGTACATTATACTTTTTACCGCTTTTAGTTATGGCGTTTTTATGGATTTATCTTTGAAACGGATCACGTGTGCGTGAATCTATTTTGTTTGGGGCACTAAAATCATGTCAGACATACGTGTATACAATTAGTCACTCTTTATTTGTATTAAGATTGTTGGTCAAAGTCGCGCGAATTCATACTTTGATTTATTTTTCGGGAATCATAATCATGTCACGCGAACGTATACACAATCACAATAGTAATTTAAATGTGCGCTTAAAGCAAGCTACGATGTTTAAGAATTAATATTAATCGATCTTGATATTTGAGATTGAGTATGGAAGGCCCGGAACATATGAAATGATCATTTTTGGAAAAAATGCGTTCAATTTGCTCTTTTACTGAAAAAAATCCAAAGCATAACACAAGACAATAGGAGAAACCACTGACTTTCAACAAATTCACTCCTTAGATACTTAACGTCCCTTAAACAGACTACATAATTAGAAGAACAAAGCAATTCCATGCTAGTATATGATTAAAAAAAAGACATCATAATACATATAGTCCACAACCAAATTAAATTACTAGAGTTGGAGCAACACTTCTATAAACAAATTAGAAGGTGAGAAGACAAGACCAATATAATTAGCTTCAAAATAAATCAACTCTATGTGAACCATTTATTTAGCAGCATGGAATGTCTCACCAACAAATAATGTCTGCATGATATTTTGAAGTGCATTTACAACAATCTTAAGCTTGAATTAATTTTCTTTCCTAAACTTGTGGCAGACCTTCTTTGCTAAACGTTGATACTTGATTCAGGGAATTACAAGATCAATTCAAGAAGAGGTTCTCACACTCTTCTTTATGCTAATTCAGTTTAAGTTTAAATCACAGATCCAAAACAACTCAAACAAATTATTCCAAGAAAAATGATTAATCGATCAAGATAAAAAAACAACAAAAGACGTGCTGACATAGAACCAAACGACAAGATGACAAGCATTATAAGAACACAATAAAGTCGCAGATAAAGAGACAGACCTTCTATGAAGTTTATTTGATATGTTTTAAGAAATCTCCGGCAAATACAAATGGTTGCTCCGGAACATCGAAGAAAAATAAGAAATGCTACTGAAAATTTGTCCGGAACCTCGAATCGGTAAACTCGAACATCTCCGTAACTAAAAATTTGACGATTGTTTCAAAGTTGATTTTGGATTGATTTTTGAAGCTGTTTTCGAGCTATTTGGCTGCCGGTTTTGCTTCTCCTTTTGGTTGGATTTTGCTAAGCTTTTGGTGGTGTTTATGGGAGCTAAGGTGTGAGGAAGATGAGTGGGGGGAGGGGGGGGGATACTGCATTCTTAGCTCTCTTTTCCAGATCTCCTTTTTTCTTATTTGTTTGTGTGTGCTCGTTAGAGATGGAAAATCAGAGGGGGG